GATAAAGGTGTTGCAACGTGAGCTTTGGTAGTGGATTGATTGTTACTCTCTTTCCACTGTGCATAAAAGTGTTATTATATCGCTTGTGCCCCAAGAAATATATCTGTAATGAAATCAATAGGAATGTAACGTAAATTTGAAGAAAGATATCGTGATCGTGACAGGGACAGGGACAGGGACAGGGACAGGGACAGGGACAGGGACAGGGACAACCGAAAAGGGGGAAAAACAAATAAGAAGAAGTCATAAAAGCCATTGTTCAAGCAGCCAAAAGCTGCAAGTCAGAACTTTATTTAGTGGTAACGACGAAAATGCCAGAATACCAACAAGAATACATTTTTTCTTTGCTGAATATCGTTACAGTAACATGCACACGAAAAGGATAAATCTTACAACATGCAAAGTAATTTAATGTAAAAAAACATGAATGGAACGACCAGATGCAGGAATATATTCCAAAGTATTGCTATCACAATAGCTTGACATATGTTCATGGACATGCTGTTATTCAACGAACGAGTATATACCCGAATGCAGGAATATATTCCAAAGTATTGGTATCACAATGGCGTGACATATGTTCATGGACATGCTGTTAATCAACGAACGAGTATATACCCGAATGCAGGAATATATTCCAAAGTATTGGTATCACAATGGCGTGACTTATGATGGCACATATTGCCGTGTTGAAAAGAAGCTGCTGGAAACTTTTCCATAGCGAAGCCCAAGAAACTGTCAGGACCACCAGTACAAGGGGAGCTACTGTCGATGTGGTCAGCAATAATCCCAAGGCGCAACATCCGTCCTCTTGGCGCTTTCAAATTGAATCCCTCCAATTCACAATCACGTTGCAGCGATGCGCCTGGAATCAGTGACTTCCAAGCTTTTCTCCCAATAGTAAATCTTCTCTCGATTCCATCAGCGACAACGTCATAAAGCGAGGTCGCTTGGTAAGGAATAGTGGTGAATTTAGTGCTCTCGCCAACCCTGAAGCCGACACAGAGTTCCTTGAATGGAACCGTCCAGTAGGTTGGTAGCTTTGTTTCGTAGTTATCAAAACCTGTTTTACCTGCTGAAACGTTGTAAGCGACCTTGTTTGACCAGTAGCTTGAATGGTAGGCAAATGTGTCCTACAATGTGATCAATTGTCGAGTTGAAGGACAGAGCTACGCCAAGCAAATTTTATTTGGAAACTGTGTCACCACGAGAAAAATCCCCATCCCCTCCCCCCCCCCCCCCCC